ACCAGCGGGGGCTCCGAGGAGGAGGACAAAGACGGCGGGGTGCTCTTTCACGTGAACAAGAGCGGCTTCCCCATCGACAGCCACACCTGGGAGCGCATGTGGATGCACGTGGCCAAGGTGCACCCCAAAGGGGGAGAAATGGTGGGCGCCATCAGGAACGCCGCCTTCTTGGCAAAGGTCAGTGGCTTCGAAGGAGGGGGGTGGGGTGGGCGGCGAGGGGACCATTTCGGTCTGTACAGGGCAAATAGAGGCACTATCCACGTTCTGGGTTCTGCTACGAACACCCTTCCCCTCTCCAGTCTTCCCCCCTGCCCCCCCCCCAGCCCCTTTGCTTAATTGAGATGTTTGTCTTGGAAGCCCTAGAAATGGGGGAGGGGGAGGTGGTGGCTGGCTGTCCTGGGACTGTGTGGTCTGTTGTGCCAAGGTTTCCTTGAATCTCTATCCAAACTCTATTATTTATTTACTCACCCCCATGTCCATCCTCTTTCAGCAAGAGCTGTAGCCGCTCTGTTGCAGCGGCGATGCCAAGAATGCATAGGTCCCCTAGGGATCCCACCCTGCTTCTCCCCTTCGGAGTCTCCCCCTTGCAAATGATTTATTAGGCTGTGAATGAATTTGACTCAACCAGTCAGACTTCTCAGCGTGAATCATTTCTAGACTTTTTGCCAATTTTTTTTTTTTTATGACAGTGACTTTCACCTCTGAAACTTGCAAAAACAGTGAACTATCTCTCTTTTCCCGGCTTATCTGGGCTCCAAGAAAAAAAAAAAAAAAAGAAGTTTTGGCCATGCCTTAAAGGGGACGTTCCAGTCGACATGATGAATTAGTCTCACTGGATTGAGAAGGAGGCTCGGGAGTAGAACTCTTTTTACTTTGGAGAGAAGCCAGTGAGCTGATTGGGTTTGGTGGCCAAGGATCACTTAGCAAGACGGAGGGAGGGAGATGTGCAGTGGTCGCTGTATGAAACATAAAATGCAAACCTGGGGGAGAAATGCTGCCAGAGCCTGGGGCGGGGAGGGGGGGGGCGGTTGTAGCATGGCAGATGGTTTCCCTGGCACCCTGGGGACACTGGCATGGCTGAGAAGATTCCTGAGCAAGTCTAGGAATGCCAGACCTGAGACCTGGAAGGCCATCTGGTCGAGTCCCCAACCTGGAGCATCTGGTGACCTGAGCGTCTGAGCCCTACAGGCCAGAAAGCTGTGTGTGCCCTTGGGAGAAGTGGCCCAGCCGGTAAGCTTCCTGTCGCAGTCAGTCACAGTGTCTTATTACTCTGCCGGTCAAGGAGCTCTTCACTGTGCCCAACAAGAGTCTTGCCTGCTTTCCTGTCAGCCGTAATTACCCTTGCTGAGACCTCCTTGAGCGTGAGAACAACGTTGGTCCTGGCTTGTGGTTCGGGCTTTGTCCATACTTACGTGAGCCTTCTTTACTGAAGGGCGAGCTGGGAGCCCTTAAACCTGGAGGAGAGGTGGCCACAGGCAACAGAGGCCTGTTCCTACCACCCCATGCTGCCTTTCTAACTCAGCACCCTCAGCAGCAACCCCGCTTCTAATTGTGGCTTCATCCTTCTCCCGATTTTGTGTGCAGTGACCCCCTTTCTCGATGGGAACCAGGGAATGTTAGTATTGATGGGAATCAGGAATGTTAGTATCTCCCTTCCGTGTTCTGAAGACCTCCTGAGAACCAGAGGCTCATTGCCTCCCAGGGCAGCTGGTCCCAGGCCTGGCCAGATTTGATTGGTGGGAAAATCTTTCCTGAGACTGAACAGAAGTCCTCCTTCTCTCCCCTTAGTCACATGTCACCACGGATTCTTGTGTTGCCCTTTGAGCCAGAGTAGCACATGCCAACTTCCTTTGCTACTCACAGCTCCCTAGAATGTCACTAGACGGGGCTTTCAGAGAGGAAGGGACTGAATTCCAGTCCTAGCTGTGCCACTTCTAGCTTACTTAAAACCTCTGATCTCAGTTTTCTCATCTATACAATGGGAGTAGGCCAGACTTCAAGTAAAGTTCTTTCCAACTCTCACATTCCATAATGTTATGACCTGTGAGTCTCCAGGTTCTAATGCTGACCTGTGTGACACCAGAGGTGCACGGAATTACGAGTCCTCAGAACTGTGACATCTGTCAGTCTGCACCTTCCTTTAGTCTCCTTTGTCCACAGGTAGCTCCTTTCACCTTTTCTTATTTGTTAGAGTTCCCAGATCAACTCACTCTTCTCGCCTTCTTTCTAGGACAATGGCTAGTTTGAAATCAGTCAGTCCCCTAAAATAAGCACATATGAAAAACAATATTCTAAATGTTGTCTGAGCAGCTTAGAACATAGATCGCTACTTCCAGAGACCTCCAATACTGTGGCTGAATGCTGTGTTCTTAAAAAGGAGTGGCCCCTGCCCTCGCCGGGTGTTCTGTGGTTAGAGCATCAGCCAGTGCACTGAAGCGTTGTGGGTTTGATCTACATGTATGGGAAGCAACCAATCAATGTTTTTCTCTCTATCTCCCCCTCCTCCCCCACTCATCCCCTCCCTTCCACTCTCTCTAAAAATCAATGGAAAAAAAATACCCTCTGGTGAGGATTAACAACAAAGAGTGGTCTCTCTTTTTTTTTTAATAGAGTGGCCATATTGTACTTTTATTTTTTTTTAATCCTCATCTGAGGATATGTTTTTATTGATTTGAGAGAGAGAGGAAGGGAGCGGGGGAGAGAGAGAAAGAGAGAGGAGGCTTATGGGCCCTAACAGGGATTGAATCCTCAACCTAGGTATGTGCCCTGACCAGGAATTGAACCCACAGCCGTTTTTGGTGTATGGGACGATGCTCCCACCAATGGAGCCACCTGACCAGGGCCACATTATACTATTGTAGTAACTCGTAGGTCACATTCGAACTCCTGCCAAGCCAAGACAACCCCAGCCCGAACGTGGGCATTGGCTTTTTGAACCTAAGTAAAGAACTTAACATTTCTCTCTCTTACATTGTGTCATAATGGTTGGTTCTCCACCCCCTGCCCCATCATGGGATCCTACCTCTCCCTGGTCCCGACATTCCCCAAACCTTGACTCCTACACAGGCTTTGAGATGGGGACCGTTTCAAAAGCTCCTGTTTCGAGGTGCCACTCCTCTTGGATTCAAGGGCTATTCCTGCGCTCAGATTGGCAGACTTTTCCCCCTGGGACCAAAGTCCTTTGCTCCTTTAACCAAATTGATGCTTTACTGAGGAATTTGTAGAGAAGAGGAGGAAGTGGTGGAAGGGTTGGAGAGTTTTAGGGAGATTACGTTTTTTTGGCAATTGAATTTGGCAAAGAAGTGGGCGGAGGGAAGGCGTCAGAGGCCTAAGAGGGGGACTGAATGTCACTTCCTTTGACTGCCGGGCATTCTGTTAGCAGCCATGGTAAGTTCTGCCCGAAGGTCCAGGTACCCCATCCTGGGGCGTGGAGGAGTTCACCTGCTCTGAGATCTTCCTTCTAAAATTTTCTACCAAAGACCCCTTCTCTGCTGGTTGCTACATCTGGAGTTAACAATTGTGTAGGTGAAGGCCAGGGCTTTTTAGGGATAGTGCAAGAAAACAGCTCAAGCCAGGTGGAGGATGATAGAGAATGGGAAGCCAGGGGCAGAGAGGGAGCTGGCCCAGGAAAAAAACAGCTGGGCTGTTTCTTGCAGAACCCACATTCGGTTGTGTCTCATTCTCACGTTGATCCCAAATTGGAAAGTCATTCACATTTAGAGGACGCAGCTTTGCCTGAGTGAAGAGGTGAATGCTGTGAGGTGAGACTTTGCTGCAAGCAGGGCTCCACTCCTGCCCCCTGCTGGTTCACTGGGCAGCTCCCTCCCTCCCTTGTTCTGCATTCAAGACCATCCATTGGTCTTTCCTGCTCAGCCCAAGGTTGTGGCCCCTAGGCCTCCGTGGCAGGCTGCCACCAACAGATTCCAGGCTGCTGCTGATGCAGGGGCCTGGGGCCCATCTTGGGCTCACGAGTGATGTTCCTTGCTCTCCTCCAGGAGACTCTTCTGCCTGGTGTCTGCCAAGTGTATTTTTCAGAGCAGGGACAGCAGAAGGCTTTGCTTTGTCCTTGTTCTCTCTTATTAAAGATCCCTGGTACCTGGGGTTCCAGCTGCCTCCCTGGCTCCTCTTCTAGCTCCCGCTTCTCTCCCACATGGTGATGATATGCACTTGTGTCCATCCACATCCCTTCTCCTTGCATTCTTCTTTTTTTAAAAAAATATATTTTTATTGATTTCAGAGAGGAAGGGAAAGGGAAAGAGAGATAGAAACATCAATGATGAGAGAGAATCATTGATTGTTTGCCTCCTGTGCGCCCCCTGCCAGGGATTGAGCCCACAACCCGGGCATGTGCCCTCACAGGGAATCAAACCATGACTTCCTGGTTCATAGGTTGACGCTCAACCACTGAGCCATACTGGCTGGGCTCCTTGCATTCTTCTGACAGGTCATTGTATTTGGCAAGAATGGAGTGAAATTGAGTCTGTCCATAAAAACCTTGCCTGTGGTTTGTTTCATCATTATTCTTGAGCAACCCTTTTCCTGTCCACTCCACTTCCCCCTCCCACTCCCCGACCCCTGACCACAGGCATAGTATGGAAAGGGTCATTTTGACTTGTGCGCTGTAGATCCTGCCTCCGTCAGCGGGGCTGTGGCTTGAGGGGACTGGATGCAGATGGCAGGAGGTGGGAATCTTGAGGGGAGGGGCCATGGGAAATCTAGGCTGGCATTTCAGGTGAAATAGGGCAGGAAAATGACAGGAGAAGAGACTCTCAGGTCCCCCGTCATGGAGAAAACAAAAGGAGTGTGCCCTGGGCTTTTTGTTTTTGTAAACGGTTGTACCAATTTACACTCCCATCCGCTGTATGGGAGCATCCTCGTCAGCATTGAGTGTCCACGCTTCAGAGCATCCCTGCTAAATGGAGAGGTGAAACTGACATTCTGCACTGGCTTTAATGTGCATTTCTTAAATTATTAGTGAGTTTGAACTTTTTTTTTCAAATATTTATCCACTATTTGCATTTACTTTTTTGTGTGAATTGTCTTTTCACGGCCATTTAAAAATTGTGGTAAAATACACATAACATATAGTTTACCATTTAAGTGTTCGGTTCTGTGCATGGTTGTGCGTGCAACATCACCACCTTCCATCTCCAAAACCTCTTCTTCTTCCCCAGCTGAAACTCTGTACCCCTTAAACAGAAACTCCCTCTTCCTCCCTCCCACCCCTAGCCCCTGGCAACCACCCTTCTTCTTTCTGTCTCTATGACCTTGGCAATTCTAGGAACTCATATAAAGGAATTGAACGATATTCACGACTGGCTTATTTCACTTAGCGTGAGGTCCTCAAGGTTTATCCCTGTTGTAGCATGTGCCGGAATGGCCTTTCTTTTTATTGCTGAATAATATCCCATTGTGTGTACATGCCCCATCTTGTTTATTCATTCACCTGGTTTGCTTCCACCTTTTGGGACCATTAAAAAAAAAGGATAGATTGATTGATTTATTATTTTTATTGATTTCAGAGAGGAAGGGAGAGGGGGAGAGAGAGAGATACATCAATGATGAGAGAGAATCATCGATCTGCTGCCTCCTGCACACCCAACACTGGGGATTGGGCCTGCAACCCGGTCCCTGACCAGGAATCGAACCGTGATCTCCTGGTTCATTGGTCGACATTCAACCACCAAGCCAAGGCAGCTGGGCCAGTTGTTTTTTTCTCGAGGCCCCAAAGTTTTCTCATCACCTTGTGTGAACACTTCATGAATTAAGGAGGTTAACGCATGGTCCCAGAGGGAAGTGGATGGTTTCATCCTCTTTTATTAGGGTGAGAAGGCATCTCAGGAATGCTCCCGAGTGTCCAGGGACTCAAGCGCTGCTGATTCTGTTTTCCTGAAAAGTGAAGACATTTCAGGCCTCCCCGTTGTCCGCCCCTGAAGGCACACTTCAGACGATAATAACACAGCTCACACTTAGAGAGCACCCAGTGCCAAGCTCCGAGGTGCACATTGTATACGTAGGTTATAGAATCCTCATAGCCAGCCCAGAAGGTTTGGAGTAGGTGATATTCTCCTGTTTTATCGGGAAGGTAACAGAGGCTTAGAGAGGTCATGTAGCTTGACCAGGGTCCACAGCCAGCAGGTGACAGAGCAGGGACTCCAACCTCGTTGTGTTGAACGCGTCATCACAACTGAAGGAGCCCACCTGGTTAATAGTTCATCGTCCTGTGGAGGCATTGGCAGCCTGAGGGGCCAGTTGGGAGCTGAGTCCCAGCCTGAGTCGCAGTCAGTGCTCCCAGATGTCAGAGTTGTAGCCAGATGACATCATCCCCTCAGCAGCCTCGGCCCCTCTTCCTGCCACAGCTCTGCTCCTCAGCTGGGGTTTGGGGAATGTGGCCACTCGCTCTCAGCAGGGGCTGAGGTAACCAGGCAGCTGTTCTTAAAAACCTTTGGGCGCCACTGAGCTTCTATTCTGAGGACCAGCTGCCGCCTGACTCCCACCCCGTCATCCGGCTCTTGTGGGCTCTGTTGGGTTTGCTGGAGTTGAAATAATTTGGTGGTTGGCCCCCATGGCCGGTTGACTCAGAACCCCGTCACTCTGGCCACCTCAGGGCTGTGGTCAACAGATGCCCCTCTGGGGATCCCTTAGGTGGTCCGTGCTTCTATGGGGCATTTCCCTGTGCTTACCAGCTTTTCTATTAAATAGGTACTCTTCTGTGTGGAAGCATGCTCATGACTCAATAAACTGTATCATCCCGCCTCCCTATCTCTCTGTGCCCCTCTCCCTTTGTGCCTGCTCTAGAGCTGGGAACACAGCAAGT